CCATACTCCCCCCATCCCCAAAAGTTTCTCAGCGGATTTGGGCTGTACTCAGCAAGTGCAGTACAGCCCCCAGATTTGAAAAAAAATCAGTGGATGGTTGTTTTCTGACTGGTCGGCAGACCGCCGACCGGTCGGCCCTACTGGTCGGCTGCAATACGGCTGGCGGTCGGCAGGGATGCAACCCTGATGTGTACCCCATTTAAAGATGGGAATTTCCTGGCAATATACAATGGGGCGACCGATGGAAGGTACATTTTTTTCGATTTATGGGTGTCATCTTGTGCAGGGGCCATGCTAATCTTCTCTTCTGTGTGTCGTTCAAACTTTAACGGATGTTCCAAAGGACTCGACGGAGGGAAAATTCTGCACATGGAGCAATCGACTGCCAATCAGGCAATCCTAAGTCAACAATGACGATTGGTGGAAAGTTGACTACCAACGATTGCAACGCGGCGCTTGGGCCTGCTGGAACTACTGGTGTCATCAGTGAACAGGGAACAGTAAAATGGGGTCCCTTGGTGTGGTTTCCGGGCCAACAAAGCAAGATTCTCCCCTCCCAACAGACAGTGCACAGGTTGTACAACCACATACTCCAGGGGCTTTATCAAGGTCCCCATCTCAGTACAGCTTCAGGAGTAGTCGGTCATCGCATACGAAGGATAATGCCGAAGCGGAGGATGGGCGCAACAACACTGAAAATGCCCCTAAGGCAACAGTGCCGGAGCAGCCAATCAACAGCTTGGGGAGGCTATGGGCGCGGAATCCTTTCCAAATGCCCTCTGATGAGGAGATCTTCAAAATGCGGATGGAGGAGAAAAGGCTGCACAAGGAAAGGCGAGAGGAAGTGAAGCGCATAAGCGTCGAGGACAGAACAACTTTCACCTCTCGCATGCATATGACCATCGCTCCAGAATCTATCCTTCAGCTTATGGGCGACCGCAGGGGGCAATTTGACCCCCTGCCACCAACCAGCCTCACTGTGTCAGGAATTCCGTATGAACATCGAATCAGGGAGAAGGAAAGCATGGCAGAGTTCATTGAGAAGAAGAGGGAGATCTTTCTCGTTCAAATGAACCTGGACACGAAACGTGCCGAAATCACCAAGCTGGAGGAGAGAGCTACACAAAGAGATGAGGCCCTGCAAAAGAGTGAGGCTATGCTAGAGGAGGATGCCTTACGATTTGATGCATTTTTGAAGGAGAATGATGAGAAGGTCCAAGAGGCGATCAGGAAGGCAGAGCATGAGACAAAGGCCAAACAGGATAAGGTGGCAGAGATAAAGAGGCTTACTGTTGCCATCGCTGCAATAAGGAGTGACCTCAACAAGTACGAGGAACAATTAGAGGATTGCCGGAAGTACAAAGATTTCTTAGATAAGTTGACCCCTGGACAGTGGTTCAAAGACCAGGAGGATCTGCACAATGCACGCATAGAAGCAGTGAGAGCGAGGCTACGGGCAAATGCTGAGGCTGCGCGACTGGCATTAGCGGAAGCCGATGCGGCAAATCAAGCTGACGGAACGTGGCCAGCACACGGAGCGGTGCAGCTGTCATCATCGAAGACCTGGGGTCAGGGGCCTGCAGGAGGGACCCCTGGGAAGAAGTCAATCGGGGGTGCAACCCTCCCGCCACTTCCACAACCCCCGGGACAGAGGGGTCAAGCTCAGATCGGAAATCAGTCAGGAAACCAGGCAGCAGGAGGAGGAGGAGGGGTACAGGTGGTGGGACAGCGCCCGAGTCAACCAGGGGGGCCAACTCAAGCAGCGGCTCCGATAGGAGGGGGAGGGGGAGGCGGAGCGGTGCAAGCAACAGGACAACGACAGAGTCAACCAGCGGGTCAAAGTCAGCCAGCGGGAGTGCCCGCTGGACAGCGGCCGAACCAACCAGGAGCACAACAACAGCAGAGCCAACAACAGCAACAGGGTAGTGGGGGGCAGGGAACGGGTGAAGGGATGACCAACACCGAGGGTGGCAATGCTCCCAATGTGGAAGGCTCCACACTGGAGGGGGGGGATGACATGGACGAAGTACTTAGAATTGTTGCAGAGGAAGAAGAGGCAGCAGGAGGCACGCCGATGCATTTTCAGAAGCCGAGTCAGCTCCTGGAGATCTTCTCACAGCTCGAGGAGCAAAACTTGTTTCTCATTCAAAACTCCCAAGAGACAGAAGAAGCTTTAGAGGAGCTCAAGTCCAAGTTCAAAGACATAAAGACGAAGATGGAGGCGGAATGTAAGACCTTACAAACTCAGGTTGAGACCTGGGAAAATGCTGTGAGGATGGAGGAGGAGAAATGCAAAATCTTGAAGGATAAAGCAAGCATGAACGCTGGCTACGGTGAACATGCAACGCCACTGGAGGAGCTTGCCGTGAAGGTTACAGACGTGTACTTGCGCTGTGGGTTTGACAACGACGCCAGCGTCGGGCCCCTGCAGATGCTCACAAACATCGAGGCAAGGCTGGAAGAATACCTGGCCATTGTGGACACAATGCCCTCTGATTTTGTGGAGCAGATGGAAAAAGCTAGGGAGAAGGAGAGGAGGCATCGTGTACGCGAGGAGAAACTCGAAGCCCTGAGGCGAGAACAGGAGAGGCGCCTTCAGCGAAGTCTGGAGAGGGCCCAAGCTCCAGTGCATAAGAAAACTGGGAAGACTATTATGTTCCGCTCACAACCATTGCACAAGAAAAAGAAGGATGATGGAAGTGCGCAGAAGAAAACGGATGACGAAGAGGAGTTAGCACAGTTTCTTGCACGCGAAGTATAGATATATACATGAATGTGTCTTTTGTCACGAGTCACAACAGGTTGAACTGCATGGGTGATTTATCCGTGTCCTAGGTGAGAGTCGGTAGAGATCCTAGTAGGCGGAAGAAAAGGCTGTGTTGACATATGGTTCCAGCTTCCAAGCAATGAATCCCTTGCCCAAGGGGCAAGGAAATCAAGGCTGCAAAGAGAGACTCAAAGAAAAATTTGATATTATTAATTTAAATATATATATATTATTCAATTTTATTATAGAATTTGCCAAAGGGATGCTGGACCAGATTTCCAGCAGGTGCAGCTCCCCACCAATAGAACGGAGCCATCATAAAAGTGTGGAAAAAAGAGAAGAGAAGAGAAGAGAAAGCCAAAATAAAGCAACACAATATACACAATGGGGACTGATAAGCTGTTCTTGGATTTAGGAAAAATATGAATGCAATGAACCCAGTCAGGTGGAAAGCTCAAGAAAGACGAAGTACAGAATGTCTCAGCGCAGTTACAGTATCTCCGAAATCGTACAAGTAATCATGTTGTCCAATTTCAAGTCACCAGAGAAGAGGCTGATGGGATGGAGATCAGACTTAGAGGGTGGAAGAGAAAGTGTCCATCAACATAGCAGATAGATCTCCCTCTCAGGCCCACTTCCTCCTCGGGCATCTCCCACTTGCCACATCAGCAGACAGTCTTCTCTGACATACACTGACAATGAACACATCTCATCATGGCGCCTACTCAGCGCGCAGGCAACTTCTGAAGCTGATCATCAATGCGCAATGTCGACACGCACGCAGAGTCGCAGACAGGTAAGCTTTCCTCTCATTCAGCCAATCTCACAACCCTGATCCTCCTCCTCCCCGCCAGTATCCCATCAATCTAGTGGACAATGTGGCAGGAGCCATGTCAACATAGACAGGTATCCATCTGGCGCCACAGACAGGAGAAGGCGCCAGCATAAAGCAGTAGCAGTCTCGCATCGTTGCCCAATATCAAGGCAACGTAGAGCCAGCGTAGAGCTAGCATCAAGCCAGCGTCCAGCAGCAAGTGCAAGACCGAATGTCGGTCAGCAGGGGCTGGGTCAATATGTAGTGTTGACTTGGATTGACCAGCCTCCGGTCTCTTAGGTACGGTGGCCCAGATTGCCTCGCAGCCAATGGCCTGGATCCATGCAGTTACAGATTCCCACTTCGACTTGATCCTTGACGGATACCTGCAAACAACCAAGTGTGTGTGTGCTTGATCGGCGGCCTGGACCGGGTCCACGTTGACTTTGACTCGTAAGCCTGAATTTCGGAGCTGCTGTTGACCTTTGACTTTCCACGGTCAATTGTCGCATATTGGGCATCTGAAGGCCAGTTTTAGGCCTGGCTTCAGGTATACCCCACCATAGCAGGCCTTCGTTCAGGCGGTATTCATGACTTGGGGGTGGCCGTTTATCCCCTATCTTGGCCTTAAACCAAAATGATGACCCTTAGCAAAGAATGATTGATTTTTTTATTTTTTATTTTTATTTTTAATACAAAACACGCCCCCACATGCTAGTGGTGCTGGTACGAGCAGACACCGCTAGCACCTGGGGGGAGGCTCCATCTATTGGTGGGAAGCAACACCTGCTGGAAAACGGGTCCAGCGTCCCATACATAGATAGAACTCAGAACATATCAGAACAACACAGGTGCGAGATATTCCTGCCAGCATTGATTACCTTGGGATCGAGGGGATTGACTGAGCAGGATGGTGGGGGGGGGGGAGGAACCTCTTCACCCAGAACCAGGCGCCAGATACCTGCTGCTACACACTGGTCCCTCCCACCCCCTACTTTTGCGATACCCTTTATTGATGCTGCTGACCTGCTCACACTGCTCCATACCATTGCATGTCCACTATGGTCAGCTGATGGGGAGGGAAGGGATCGGGGAAGTCCGAGGGCGGCCGCAACGGGATCCTTGGATCCACCGTTGTCCAATCTCTGAAACACATGTGATAGTCTCTCTTGATCGTCCCCTCGTTGCCTTCCTCGATGCCTTCGTTTTCTTCCTGGGCGCCATCACCATCCCACTTGATGAAGGCGATCCGGGCCCCGTTGTCGCTGCCCAGCCAGTCCCCTGAAAATTGTTGAATTTTCTGTTTTATATCTTTCTGTGTCTGAAACAGATCGAGCTGATATTTAACTTTCTGCCATTGTGCCATGAGATCTTGGTGTACATATTGTTTAACCATGTCTGTCATTTCCTCCCTGGCTATGCGGACCCCCTCCATGGCATGTATACAACGTCTCCTCCATATGGCCCACATAACGGCTCTCCTCCCTATCTTGAACATATTGTTTTCGAAGGTACTGCCTAAAGGGGAAGTCCATGTTTCGCATAGAATCGCCCTCCAATCCCACGACCAGGTAGAGCCTGTCCAACAGGTTCTAGATTTTGTCCCACCATCACCATGTAAGGACAGCCCCCGGACACTGCAAGAATATGTGTTCAATTGTTTCCGGGATCTTGCGGGAGGGAAACGTGGAGAGGTATGACCTGCACCATGGGAGCGCCAGGCCTTTTTGTTCCAGGTATGTGTGATCGATTAGCCAGTCGTTGGTGAGGAGGCAGCGGTGTTCTATCTGCCATTGCAGCGAGGCCAGTTTTGCAGGCCTGGATCGCGTGAGGGTGAACCACCGAATGGGGCGGATGGCGTCAACCCCCACATTCAAATGAGACTTCCAGCGGTTCTTCACGATGTCTTTCAAGTTTACCTTGGGCCGTAGTAAATGGTATGCGGATTTCACAGACAAGTTGGGGAGCATTACATTCTTAGTCGCCCGGGTTCTTCGCGCAGGGGGCCACTGCCACTCCTCAGAGTCAAAGGGGAGGTCTGCAAGGCAGGTCTCTGACCCGTATGCTATCCAATCATCCTTATCCATCCATGGGCTACTCATTGTCAGAAGTTGGACAATGGCAATGCTTATAAGTTATAAGACTTAAACGGTTAAACCATTAAAAAAAAAAAAGAAGACGAGCTATCAATTATTCATCTATTAGAGAGGTATGATCATACTATGATGCTATCCAATCGTCCTTATCTTGTTTTTGAGCTGAGTTATTGCAATGAAGAACGAACACGAAAGAAAAACAGCCCATACTCTATGCAAGGACACCTCTAATAGATGAATAATTGATGGTTCGTCTTTTTTTTTTTTATGGTTTCAAGTCTTATAACTTATAAGCATTGCCATTGTCCAACTTCTGACAATGAGTAACCCATGGATGGATAGAGAATCACAGCACATCAGATGCATATGGAAAGTGCTGTTTTTTCTTTTTTTTAGTCAGCGGCCTAGCTCAGTTGGTACATGTGGAATTGAGGAGGTCTTGGGTTCAATTCCCATAGGCTTCATGTACCTACATACTTGGTGCTAGACACTGCCAGCCATCTGTAGATAGACCGTTGGCCTCCTCGATCGACATTAGCAGATACTGGCCGGGGGAGGGGACCTGAGGGGAGGCAAAGCGACTGACCACTCATATGAAGCTTGGTCGTGATGCTACCGGCTGACCTCTGGCCGATATCACCCAGCTGCTGTAGCAGGTATTGCACCTATTGGCGGGTGCAACTCCCGCATGTTCCCCTCGTTGGAGGCTTGAACACGGAGTGGCTGAGGCATGAAGCCATCCTGTCGAGATTTGACAGGTAATTGAATTGGTTGGGCTCAAAACAACCGGCCTTACAACAACAAAAAAAAAGCGTTGTTTTCTCTTGGTTAATTAATAAACCAAAAATGATTTTGGCAAAAAAAGTTAAAAAATAAAAAAACATAATGAAAGGATTTTGCAAGGAACATGAGCGAGAGCGATACACAGAAAACCAAGTTGCAAAATCACGAACTAGTTTAGATAGTCATGAACCAAGCAGAGAGTGCAATGCACCAAGATACCGTCCAAATAAGAACAATACAAAGAACTCAGGTGTCAATGTCGCCACTCTTTGGTCACACCAACACTGTATCCAATGTCGCACTTATTGTCTGGCACCCAGCGCCCAACCTATCCTACTCAGCCTATCTAGCCTATCTATGTTCTTGCAACTAGATCACTTTGAAGTCAAAGATTGATGTACGTGACGTCAACACTAATGCCGACCACCAGCATACACCAGGTACGTTCTCTCTCCTCCCCTCGTCACCCCTTGGATCCCCTCTTCATGCACCTCCTTCCCGAAGATCACCATCGCCATCACCTGCCCTGCGCCCCAGCTGCCCGGCTATGGCTGCTGTGTGCCCGTTGCCTCAGCAGCACCCCTCTCACCACTGCGCCTGTTGTCGCACTATTTCTAGGCAGGCCTCCTCAGGCGACCAGAAAGCCAACAGCCTGTCACGCAGGATTTGATTGCTTTGTTTGCAATAAATAATCAAATTAAATAAAGCAGATCCCTTCCTGTTGTGTGCGTCCGGCTTCGAGCGAGACCCTTCAATTGCGGTCTTCGCCAGTCCCCGGTCTTAGGAATCTTTTATTTTGATGCGGAACAATAAAAATCATACAAATAATAATCATGAAATTTTGGTGTATCATGCATGTATCAATTCTGCCAATTCCTAATTTTTTAGAACTGTGACATAATCCCCAAGAAATACACTCATCAAGCAAAGTCAAACAAGGGCACAACAAAGACCGACAGACTCGAGCAATCACAAGGAATAAATGAGGGAAGAATGAGAACTCGTAATAATCTCATAGAGTACACATAAAGAGAGCATGGCTAGCACTAGTCAAGAGTCCTTGCTCATTCCTTAGGGTCGTACACGTAATCTCTCATTTTGCTACGCGTTTCGTGTGCCTTGAACCATGCCCCTGTACTCTCTGAGGTTGCGGTCTCTGAATATAGAGTCACCTAAAACATGCAAGCTCCGAGCAATTTCATCCAAGTCCCATGATGCGGAAGTCGGCCATAGCACAAAACTCCTCCCATAGAGTAGGAAGATATGGTTGAGAGAAGATCCCTCGTCTGAGGTGTTGAAACTAAAAGCTCGATCATGGTCTCATAGTCAATCTCTGCTGGAGAAATGTACCTCTTGGCTAGATCAACCAAGTCATCCCAACAAGAGTTGTCTGTGAGAGTGAAGGGAACTGGAGGTTTGGGGTAGTTGATGTAGAGCTTGGACCCGAAGCTGCGGATCAGCTTTG